GTGCTCGGACTCGTAATCGTGAGATTGTGGGTTCGGGGGTTCGAGCCGACGTTGTGTCCTTGGGAAGGCACTTAAACATGAATTTTCCTTTCTTCACTCAGGTGAAAATGGGTACCCAGCTATAGACAGTGAAAGATCCAGAACGCTCATGCCTCGCCCCTCCCCATTTCCGTTCTTGTCCAACATTTTTTTTAGTAGAGGGTTTTAAGGCGCTCGCAACTGCATAAGGTCATATGAGCACCAAGGGGTGGATGTCAACAGAGAAGTCCTTACAGGGAATCAGACTTACTCTGCTCACCTATCTAGCTTCAACAGCACAAGGTCTTCTTCGACTATCAAGGCACCCCGGAAATAGCAGGTCACAAGAGTGTGACAAACATACAAAAGAAGTAGAGGAAAATGACAATAGTAAGGATTTGGAAAGAAAAAGCAGCAGTTCCCTGTTGTAGTTCAGGCACAGTTATGAGCGTGACATGATGAATCAGCCCATTTACAATTCTACTGTGCTTGAACGAGAAATGTCCCCCCTTTGGGAATGTCCTAAAGACACTACAGTCAGTGGCACCGCCCCGGGGGGTGTCCAACATTTAATTTCATTTCACCGGTGACTTCAGGACTGATCTGTCATATGCTGACAAAACGCCGTTTTTCATTTTGTCAACAATTTTTTTAAATCGCTATATCGAAAGCCTGATCAGTTACGTCCTACTTGTGTGGAAAAATCAAAGTGAAACTGTGACTAGTATTTGAATAAATTAGAACTTCAAATTTCAGAAGAATGCTATTTTAAAATTGTTTAGTGACAAGAAACCTCTTTTTTTCTCGAAAACTGCTGTGAGGTTGTTTTTTTAAAAAGCGTTTTGTTAGCTTACGGCCGTGCTGAGAAATGTGAATTACATACTGCATCATGTCAGTTGTAACTATCACATAGTTTAACGCATCGGAATTTAGACAATAGGCCTACCTTTCCTTTAATTTATTTAGTAGTCACATTTCGGTAACTATACCAGATATAAAATAAATAAATAAATAAATAAATAAAAGAATAAATAAATAAATAAATAAGTAAATTGTACCCGTTCAATCCTACAAATCATAATATGGAGAGAGATCTTTCTCATTTCTTGGTCCATTTATGTGGAACAGAATTACCCATGGAACTAAGACAAACAAGAACACCATGATAGCTTCAAAAGACATAATATTTTAAGCATTTTCTGTTCCTACAGATCTAGATCTATCCTTCATAAGCTTTTAGCGTTATTTTTATTTTATTATAGTTGTTCTGTGCCTACATCTGAATGAAAACATTCCGTGTGTGTGTGTGTGTGTGTGTGTGTGTGTGTGTGTGTGTGTGTGTGTGCGTGCGTGTGTGTGTGT